AAAGCATAGATCTTACCTGTTTTACCCAGTTTCAAAAAAAGCATCCAATTTAATTTATCAATGAATCTATCATCTATAAGATGATAGATTCATTGATAAATGAATCCGTCTTTTCCTTCTCAATAACATATTGTTGATTCTCCACCATATATCTCACTTAAAGTGAAAATCAAATATATTTTTAATATAATTAAAACTCTTAATGTGTAACAATCTATGTACCCACAGTTTTAAAAGTCTTTTGGCTAGAGATGATAGTACTGATTTAATGGTTTTCTACTTTCACTAAAATTTTAATTCTCTAATATATTGCTTCCAATCCAAAATTCATGAAAGAACTACTTTAAGAAATAGACTTCCTTTTAACAAAAGTCATATAGATCAATGTTGATATGTCTGCCAGAATACACAATTCCATTTGGTAGGATTTAGATTTTCTTTGCAATAGTAATTTGGTTACTTAAAAACAAAGATATATTTAGATATCCTCATCAATAAATGGGCTTTTCAGAATATTATACAATATAGATAGTTAAAATACACAGGTATAAGCTTAAGGAATGCAGTAAACTAAGTTTGAACAATTCCAGAGTTACATGATTATCATTTCTTTGGCTTATACTTTGGTTTTTTAATATTCTGAATAGCTGGAATACACCCTACATGTAACTAATATTTTAGGTGTTCTAGTTTACAATTAACCTTTTATCTCTATTATCTAGTCATGTCTTGTTCTAATAACTCTTACTGATTATAAATCTACATCTTTGCCCAATAAAAATGTATGTTATTAGAGAAAAAGTACTAGTTTTTAAAATGCCCTTCACTAAATATTTGCATCACTTCTCATCCATGCCACTATTAGTGAAAATTCAAGTAATGAATTATCTCTTTAGCTAAGTGATTTGGTAGCAAACATTAGTATTGGCTAGTGAATACGATATTAAATACTCAATGGAAGATAATCTGTCTCATTCTATATTCATTATTCATTATTTTTCTGATATTGAATATGAGAAACTTTTATATGCTCCCTTGATAGCTTCATTAGAAATAGAAAAAAATAAGTAAAAAATGACACATTTAAAATATAGTTACTCTTATATATAATTATTAAGACTCAATGTAAGTATAAATACTACTACAGCTATAAATTTAAAAAAATCCTACATCTGTCCCACATCTTCGTTCAGTTTTGAGAAAGCAGATACTTGTTTTTTGCCTCATGCTATTCATCCATCATATAACCTTTTATCTGTTATAAACAACAATAGAAGTAGAGAACATTAGAAATAGATAGTATATGAAAACTAGATCTTATGTCACCAAAGACCTATAACACTTCATTTATAGCAAATCATCATAAGATAGTTATTGAAAATGATATTGTTCTTGGAGATGGACATTAATGTTCAATATAAGATGTTCCCATGATAACCTATTTTATATACAGAAATGTTCCCAATTTTTATAAAATTAATTAATATAGCTAAAATATCCATTTATATTATTATGATCTGTTTTCCAAGCCCTAAATAATTCAAGATATCAAGTAAAAAGGAAATGCCTTTATTAAACATTTTCCTTCCCACTACTATATTTTTAAAATTCTAATAGTTAATTCATTTGATGAGACATTTTAATAGACTGTATACTACAGTTGCCAAATTCATAGCTGAGTTGAAGAGTATAAAAATATCTAGAAAATGAAAAGTTTCATGGTTTAAATATTATCTTGCAATAGAAATTTTAAAGTGTAACAACAAAAAAAAAACATTTAGAAATTACAATACAGTTTCACCAAAAATACTACCACATGTGTGCTTGGGTAGACAATACTTTCTACTACCTCTGTAAAACAGATTTAGACCGTGGGGGCCATGAGGACCATGTTCTACTGAACTACCCGACCAAGGCAACATTCTCATTTATAAGGTTGCCATTGAGAATACATAAAGTCCCTATTATGAAGCATGCAGAGGATATTTTATAAATAAGTCCTTCACCTTTAAAGAGAGCTGCAAATTAAAATTCATAAAATCAGTTTTAAGTGTGATAACTTAACTCAGTATTCTTAAGTATAAAATCATAGTGCTTAAGTCCAGTAAGGAATAATTTCACATAGTAAAACTGCAACATTTGAAGTTGTACAAAAATTGCACAACATAGCTTTATTATTATAGGTGTTTTTTTTTTCACAATTTAACATGGAATATCAAGAACATAAATATTAAGCTATTTGTAAGAAAACCCACTACTTGCAGACTGAAGGCTGGTGCCCTTTCATCTGATTCTTCTCCATGTTTCCAGGCTCCATCATAGTAGACAATATTCATATTAATAACTTTTCAAGTAAAAACTTCAGCGTTATTTCTGACTTCAAATACCCATTATTACCCTCTGTTACCACTTCCCCAAATCTGTAATTTCTACTTCTTTCCTTCAGCTACATCCTTATTCCTGACCCTAGACTTTTCCCCTAAACTACTGGACCTCATTCTCATGAAAAGGCACCTCCAGATTCTCTTTAATCCACTTCAAAGTTCTCTTCTCTCCCTGACATTCTGCCTATGCCCCATACTTATTCCTCCTAGGCTTCTCATATTCTGCTCAAGAGCCTTATCCTCACCAACCAACATTTTCTTATTTACTGTAGAGAGAGAGAGAGAGAGAGAGAGAGAGAGAGAGAGAGAGAGAGAGAGAGAGAGAGAGAGATTTGTTGTTCCACTTATTTATGCATTCATTGGTTGAGTCCTGCTTGTGCCCTGATGAGAGATCAAATCCCCAACCTTGGCATATGGGGACCATGCTCTAACCAACTGAGATACCTGGTCAGGGCAACATTTTTATCAACTCAAGGTTGCCACTGAATTTCAACTACCCTTAAAAATATCGGTTTCTACTTAACCTCTGGTAAATTGACTAAATTCTGCCTACAGGTAATCAGATTTGCCCCCTAATCCATCTGAATATGGGATTCCTTTTACATTTAGCCTTCAAATGCACAAGTAATTTATTTAGACAATTTTAGCAAAATAATTGCATACATTGTTAGCGGTTTGCGTATCAATTTTATCCCTATTGTACTGTAGGGATATGGATAAGGGCCAAATCTTTCAAAGCATTCTGTACAACTATGCCATTTGACCCAAGGAAGATGATTTGATAAATAAAACTATCAGGAAACGCTTAAATAAACAATTTTAAAAAAAAATCTCTATGATTTAACTTTAAAACATCTATGACCTTTCATTTCCATGGTCAGTTAACATTCTTTGGATTTTATTAAGCTTCACTCTTACTACTCTACTATACTAATTTTCAAAACATGGCTAGAATTTAAAGTGCAAGTTGAGGATTGATACAGAGTATACAACCGCGATTAGATTCTTTGAAAATCAGCAATGTGAACTCTTTAACAATTCTGAGACATAACTGTATCTTCGCCTATGGCAACGGTTTCAGCACCAAAAAAGGAGGACAGCTCATCTTCTGATTTGGGGGGATTCCCTTCCCAGCAATAGGTTTCTCCACCAGAGAGGCTATTAGGAAAATCCAATAAATCACCACTAACATCTAGAAAGAAAACCAGGAAAAGGCAACCCGTTTGCGTAAAAGAGGGTGTCATGGATATCTCGTTTTCATAAAACTGAGCAGTTCAATTAAGCTTTGCACTCAGTATCTACCGATCATTTCATTTTTATTTTATTTTTTTACCTAATAATAAAAGCAAGTCTCATTCAATTTAGTCCCTCCTCGAGCACCGTCTCAACATGTCAAATTTTGACAAGGGGAAAAAAATTAAAAAAGATTTGGAGAAGGGGGTGGGGGAGAGACACACACACACGAGGATTCCTGTCTACATCACTCCGTTTTCCGAAATCACAACAGTAAATCTTGGATTTCCTTCACTCCCAACTAAGCCCTCGGATTCTAAATATAGCTCTTTAACCCCCGCCTTGCCACTCAATTACACATAAGCCTCGCCGACTACAGAAGCACAGCAGAAACCCCTCCAGACCGGCTGGCTATTCATCTCGGAAGTCATGCCCTGCAGCAACGGAGGGACATCACCCAAACACAACGCCACGGACCCAGACGTGCGGGGCTTACACGGCGGCCGCGAGGGAGGGAGAGGCGACCCGGGAAAAGTGTGCTCCTCACCAGCTTCGGGACCATGAGGGGTTGGAGGGGGGGAGGACAGAGGGGAGGATGTCCCAGGAGGGAGGAGGAGCGAGGAGCCCAAGTGTAGGAGGCATCCATCCTCTCTCGAGTGGAAGGGGCTGCATCCCCGGCTGCAGGCTCAGCCGGTCCCACTAAACCTTACTCGAAGGAAACCAAGGGCCCTTTGCTCAGGAAGGCGGAATGCTGACACTTTCCCAGGTCCGGGGAGGCAAAAGCCGATCCCCCACCTCTCCGGGGAGACTATGGGTGTCCCACGGTGGCCGAGGGGATGCCCTGCTCTCGGGGGGTGCAGAGTTCCGCCTCTTGGGCAGCCAAGTCGTGTCCGGCGAGCACGGCAGGAGGCTCGGGGCCACGCGAGTGGGGGAGGGGGCAGCGAGGGGGTGGGTGCGGGATTCCCCTCGCCCGGGCCGGCGCGGAGCGGAGGAAGTGCGCGGGCCGGGAGCGCGGCGTGCCCCGGACTGCGGAGCCGGGATCCCGCGCCCGCACCGGCCGCCGGGAGCCCCGCAGCGCCCGCCGCACCGGCCCCTCGGTCCCTGAGGGCCGGCGACTTGGGCTGCGAAGGTGCCTGGGGGGGAGCCTGACACCCCACGGGACCGGCACCTGCTCCCGGGAGGTTGTGGGGGGCACGGGAACACCCCAACCTCCAGCAGCTCCGTTGGTTGTAAAACGTCCCCCTTTAGCTGTCCCCCCTTCCTCAGCCTTCCCTCCTCCCGAGGCCGCAGAGCAGGGTCACCACCGGCCAGAAGCCTGAGGCACGTCGGGGCCGGCAGCGGCGGCGGCGGCGGCGGCCCCGTCCTCCCCGCCTCCCGGCTTACCTGTGAGGACTCCGACGCGGATTTGATGGTCGTGGTTCGTGAGGATCATCCCCTCGGTCGCCATGTTTCCCAGCGCAGTCACCGCACTGACAGGAGCCGGGAGAAGCGGGAGCTCGGAGCGCGCGGCCGGGAGCGCGCCCGCCTGGGACCGCGCGAGAGCGCGAGCGCGAGGTGAGCGGGAGGGAGGGAGGGGGGAAGGGGGAGGCGGCCGCGGGCCGGTCCGTCCGCCTGCGCCGGCGAGAGGCCGCGGCGGGAGCGCGCGAGGCCGCGGGACGGGGCGGAGTCCGCCGGGCGCGCGACCCCGAGGCCGGTGCGAGGCGGCCGTGGGGGGTATGTCGGGGGGCACACGCTGTGGCTGCCGGAGGGGAATGCGCGGAGGAGTCAGTCCGAGCGGCAAGTCCGCGGCCACGGTGCCGAGCGCGAGAGCCCAGGCGGCCAGACGGCGAGAGACTGAAGGGAAAGGGGAGCACACGCTCGGGAGGGGGCGGGGGCGGACTCGGGGCCGGGGCGGAGCTACACCGCGAGGCGTGGAACTCGTGGAGAGTGAGGGGAGGAGCGGGGGCCCGTCGCCCAACGCCGGGAGCGGGTCGGGCCGGCCCAGCCCGAGGCGGACGGGGGACGCTGGGGACGCGCGAGTAGCGCCCGATTGGCCGGGAGGACGCGGCGCGGGGCGCGCGAGACCCGAACGCCGCCTCCGCGAGCGCCAGGCAGAAGCAATCCCCTGCCGAGCCGCGCGGCGCGGTGCTGGCGGGGCCTCGGGCCGCCTCGGCTGGGCTGCGGAGCGCTCTCCGGCGCGGGTTTGGGAAGGAGTTAGCACTTGGGGGGTGGGAGAGGAGGGAGCACTCTCGAAACCCCCAGAAGCTGCGGACCGACCCCGTGAAGGCGCCAGAGAACCTGGTGGTAGCTTAGAAAGCTGCGTGGGTGGCAGAACGGCGGCCCCTGGGACGGAGAAAGTGCCGTGTTCCTTGGAGGAGGAGGTCTGTCCTGCCTCGCCTTCCCCCTGGCTTCCTCCCGCTTCTCCTGTGCTCCGGGATCCCGACTCCAAGCCTCTGCCTACGGAGCGACCTTCCTGAACTCAGGAATCTGCAGCGGAGCCACACGCGTGTAGACCCCTGGCTGCTCTTCCTCCTGCTGCCATCCCTGGGTTCTGTGGCTGCTTCGCTTTCAAATGAAAAGCACCAATCTTTGGTCGAAGCTGTTCCTCCCACCCGAACCCTGTCAGAAAAGTGGAAATATAATCCAGGCCATGGCAACTGAGGTTCATTTTAGTAGCTGTGGGATATGTATGACCATGAAAAGAGCTTTTACTTTTTTCCCCAGGTGTTTCTTCACAAAGTGTGTTTTTAATCAACTGCGTTTATTCCATATCAGTTCTTACTATCTTTTTAACCCTTTCAACTGCTGAATTTAAAAAGTTACTTACACACATGTATATATTTTTCCTTTGGTTTCAGCCGTGATAAAACCTGAAAAGCTTAGAAATGAAAAGCAAAGTGTCCAAAATGTATAATCAACGTTTGTACGCAATTAAAACCTCAGTCAGTTTGATGGCTATGAGTTTATTGTTCCAATTGGAACATGGACTTAACCTCTAATTGATTCACATTGTTATGTATCTCACTTTAAATAATGGGAGTATTAAGGAGATGATGGATGGAATTGAAGTGGAATAAAATAAATTAGTAAAATTTCTTTTGAGTGTGTGTATTGCTAGTATTTTTGACAGTAGGTTAAATATCGAAGCCAGAAAGTGAACCCATCTATAAATAAAATCATAATATGCTAATTAGACTGGATGTCCTTCTAGATGACCTTATTGATGAAGCCAGGGAGGGTCCCAGGTGACAGAGAACCCAGTGCCTCGCATCCTGGGGAAGCAAGGCCTACTCTTGCACAAATTTCATGCATCAGGCCTCTAGTTTCCTATAATTATCACAGTAGATCCTGGTGGCCAACGGATTAAGTAGTTTCAAATGAAATATATACAACTTTATGGGAAAATATGTCCAAGAGAAGTTTATCTCTAAAGATAAAGACCAATTGTTTACATTGTTACCTCCCTAACCTACCTTTATTCTCTACAGTTTCCTCAAGTTTGAAATGATTAAATGTCTTGATTTTTTAGATAAATTCTAAACCTGCCCACTAATAGGTTCTGTAATGTTAAACAAGTTTGGACCTTTTTCTTCATCTTTTAAATAAGGTGGTAGACTAAATAAGCACCCTTTAAGTAAAGTGATAGACTAAAGCACCCTTTCAACTTAGAAATGTTATAATTATTCATGGAAGAAACTGAGACTTGTTTAACATATAACAGAAAAAAGGGACTATTTGTATAAAAGTAGTTAATGGTAAACTTAATTAAGATTTCATTGGAAAGGTTGAATATGAACTCAGCCTTATAAAGTATATGGAGGATTGTTTGCTAAAACTACTAAAATTGCTGGAAAAATGATATTAGAACTAAAATGGGCAATTATAATAGATGCTTGTCTCCCAACAATTTTCCTCAAGTGTATTTATCTCTGCTGAGTTTAAAAACTGTTACAAAATTTACACAGGAAAAACCCAGTGACCTTCGATCACATTTTTTTTTCCTTGCTGGTTATTGAATGAACATGGCAGTATGCTTATGCTTTTTTACTCCTACTACAATGCAACATTTCTTCAAAATCCATCCTGAATCAGGTTTTATAACAAGGAAAAATTTCTGGAATGTAGGAAGAGAGTAGCATTTCTAAATACTGACAAATATTTCAGGGACATCATGGAATGGAGAACCAGAGTAAAAGAGTTAGAGTTTATATATAAAACATTGGAAGCACCCAGGAATTTATCCTCTGAGTTCTTAAGGTTTTAATAAAAAAATATATAGGAGTTTGCATTAACTGAGAGTCAACATAAAAGATAAGTATCTGGCTTTCATAAGATTTCATTATGAAGATGAAACTTTAGAAATGAATTACTGAAGTTTGAATTTTTCCCAGTAATGGTACATTTACACTTAGCTGTCTGGTACTTTAGTTTTCTGTGGTTAATCACAATTTCTATATAAATAAGGCAATAGCTTACTTGATTTCTGTGGTCAGACTCTCCTCATTAACACTGGATATGAGCAAGAACGAATTTTGTAATGAATTATTCTTTCTCTAAGGCTCATTTCACTCTATCTCTTTCCTGTTTAGTTTATGGGCACAACTAAAACTTGGATTAAAAATGGGTGCAAGCAACATTTTGAATGTAATACTTAATGCCACTGAATTGTATATCTTTAAATGGTAAATCTTGTTATGTGTATTTAGCGCCATGAATACCAGGTGAAGCTCTGATTGATTTTAACCTATTATTTCCCCCAAAAGTGGCTTGGGTGTAGTCAAGATGAATTTTAAACTAGCTGAATTAGACAATGTTAGTTCCTAGGGCTGCTAAGTACCACAAACTGGGTAACATACAAACAAGAAATTTATTCTCTCATGATTCCTGTGTCCAGAAGCTTAAAATCCAAGTATCTAAAGCTATAGTCCCTCTGAAAGCTCTGGGGAAGAATTCTTCCTCATCTTGTCCAGCTTCAGGTGGTTTTCAGCAATCCTCAGCATTTCTTGGCTTCTAGCTGCATCAATCCAATTTTTGCTTCCATATTCATTCACATGACCTTCTTTGTGTGTGTTTACCCTTCTTTAAGGATATCAATCATTGGATTTAGAAACCACTATAACCTAGAATGACCTCATTTAACTCTATCTGTAAAGACCCTATTTCCAAGTAGATCTCATTCAAGAGATTCTGGGTGGGTATGAAATTTTGAGGGACTCTCTTCAGCCCAGTGTAGGCAGTGATGGATTACTGTGTACAGGCATAAAAACATAAATTAGAAATTCAACTATCAGAAATGAAAGTTCAAAGGTTTCTTCAAAAGGTGGGATTTAGAAACTGGATACACTTTTAGAAAAAAAAAAAATACAGCTTTATAGTCCAGAATACTGGATAAATTTTTAACATTTGACATAAGTAGCCTAATGTTTTGCCCCTCAAAGTAGTATTCTAAAGTAGAATTTTCCACAAAGTCTGGTGAGGTAAATTTATTTATTCCTGCTAAAGAAATTGACATTTTGCTTTCAGTTTTATGCCCTCATTATCTTCTAGTGAAGTGAAGCTGAGCTACCTCAATTGCCCATGGAGTTTGATGGCGCTGATTTGGGAACAACTAGGAAATGTTTTCCCATATTTTCCCAAGTTTAAAATAATTTTGAACTTTCCCTTGTGCTTTTGATATTCTATTTGTTCTGTGCAGATTGCTGCTTAAAATAACTATGTTGATCCTTTGTATTTTTTTCACCCATACTCTCTTCCTCTGAGGTCCCCATCTGGAAACCTCACCAGATATATAAGATGTTTTTGGTTGCAAGTAACTCATCCTAGGTTAAACCAAAAGGAATTCAGTAGCTCATGCAGGTAGGAAGTCCAGACATGTATGTAACTTCAGGGTTGGCTACCTTCAGTTTCTGAAACCATGTCATCAAGAAGTCATTTTTCAGCTATGCTTTGTCCTTTGTTGACTTAATTGTCACATCAGCTCTTTGTACACGTGGAAAACTTGAATGGTATTGGCTTCAGAAGGCTATAATTTAGATCAGTAAGTTTTGAGTCTGTCTGGGATACCTGGAGACCTCTCAAGATCCTTCCAGAGGGTCTGCAAGGTCAAAACTACTTTTATACTAATACTAAGGCATTATTTGTCTTTCCACTCCCATATTTTCATTAGGAAATTGTGCAATTTTCCAGAAGCTGTGTGATGTGTAATATCATCACTCTGATAATGAATGGAATGTGTTTGTATATTTTTGTAATATATAAATATCACTCTGATAATTAATGGAATGTGTATGTTTAATTTTTTAATATATAAATATCAATAGATGAAAACTACATAAACAAAAGCTTTTTGGAGCCCTCAATAATTTTTAAGTGTAAGGGGTCCTGAGACAAAGTCTTGAGAGTCATAGATTAAAATCCTATGTCCATCTCCAAAGCACTTACTAGGGCAAGGGGAGTGGCATTTTCTGA